CATGCCTTTGTTCATGCCTGTTTTCTTTTCTGAGGCAGAGTCTCATGTAAGCCAGACTGGTCTCCAAACTCCTGCCTCTAAGTCCTAAATGCTGAAACCAGAAGCCTGTGGCACCACGCCCTGCTTGATTTTTTTTTTCCTTTCACTGAGGAAAACTTATTCTAGGAACCATTAAATGCCTCAATATAGAGATAGTGTAATCCAGAAACCCTTATCTAAAAATTATCTCATCTTTCTTTTTCTTGCATTCCAAAGTAATCTTTAAGTCCAATTTTGAGAAAGACTAAAGGATGGAATTACCATTAATGAATCGTTGATATATTTTATCTCATTCTTAGTTACTGCTCTAAATGTCTGCTTCGCACCGCCTCATTTTAAAAATAGAGCAGGACACTGAAACAAGAAACAGATTATGTCTATCTTGCTAACTACAGCTGGTGACATTCTGTTGCAGACGTTGTGGGGGCAATGGCGTGCTTTGGGAATCAGCTGAATTTAAAGCACAAGTCCTTCCGTCATTTTCATGCCTTTTCTTCCTTGCCCACACCTCTATTATGTATACCATCACAGGATAGTGGTAGAAATAGTAATAACAATTGACATGTCACCTCCTGCCTCTCCATTAGGAAGCCATGAAATATTTTCAAAGAAAAACAGAAACTTTTAATAGTTCTGTAAATTAAAAAAAAATTCCAAAGATTGGTGACAAACTCCGGGGAGAATTTCATTAGCAAGAGTAGATTAAAACGCAGTCTTGAATGCCATGTTATTTATTACACTTTCTGAAACTAGCTGAGGCAAAAAATAGCCAAAGGGAGGAGGAAAAGAGCTGCACCTATGTCTAAAGAGACTTGCCGACAGGCAGCCATCTCACCTAGCAACCCGAGTTCTCAGTTCCCCAGTAGTCCATTTAACATCCATATTCCCAGTTCATTTCAGAGACTAGCGGCTCCCAAATACATAAAGTAAGGCAAGAAATAGAGAAGGCTTGGGAGAGACATAATAACATCCACAGAGAAGTGAGGGAGCCGCCAGTACCAAGGTGGCCGGAGCCTCCACAGGAAAGAGCAAATGACATGTGTTCATTTGGCTTCTTGTTCAGAGAACCCTTCCGAGAGAGTCTGAGTTCAAACCAGCTCAGCCCACTGAGCAGGGTGTTTGTTAGGCATCGCTTTTGAGATCAAGCTCTGAGTACATCCATCTTTATTTGAAGTTTAGGTGGCTGAAAAACCCATCTACCCGGTTTGCTGCCAGATGCCAGTCGTGTTGAATTTCTTGCCATCTTGGTAATGAGTATGAGGTTAAAAATGGGCTGTGGGGAGAGGAGGGCAGTGAAAAGCGGAGTCAAAATAAAATGTTCTCTTGAGCTTTAGAAGCAACAGCCAACTTTGAAAATGACTGTTGTCTAACAAGCAGATGAAGTCAAGGCATCTGCTCTGTCACCTGAAAGGGAACAGTCGAAATTGGCCCTGAATAGTGTAGAACAAACTGAACCAAGGCAATACATTCAGGACTTGACTGACATAAGGAAAGATTAAGAAGCCTAGAATGGAGCACATGAAGAACAAAATTGATTACATTTGAATAATTCACAGCTTTTGAATAATTCACTCACGGAATGGTCACTAAATGTCAAATATCTACTATGTGCCTGATCCAGTAGGTATTGGTGACATAATACTGAGCAGAACTGATTAAGCGGTTATGAAAGGTACACCTGGGAGATACAAAGTTTACAGTGGAAATTACTAGAAAGGTTAGGGTAGAAACAGTATTTAAGGTTATTAGAAGAAAATCTGAACACCCGTACTTTTCAGATATTAATTCAGACCTCAAACACATGGATTTCTTCTAGAATATAGACAGATGATTTCAGTTGTTTTTTACATCAAGGAAAAGAAGTGATCTAAGAAAATTAAGGTATAAAAAAATAAGGTATCTAGTTATCTAAGGTATACAAGCCATATTGGACATAGACTTCTTTTCTCAAAACCAGAGACCATTATGGCGTTCTTTGCTCCCTGTTTGGAGCCTTCTGTGCTGTCAGTATAATTTATGTTAGAAAACAGCAGGTCTTCGTGGGACCAGGGAAAAGCACGTGTTTGGGATATAGGGAGAGGGGCCAGGCGACAACCTCCTCCAGTGTCATTCCGTCAGATGCCATCCATTTTGTTTATTTTAGAGAGGTTCTCTCACTGGCATGGAGCTCCTCAAGTAGGCTAGGCTGGCCTCAGGGATGTGCCTGTCTCCACCTCTCTAGTGTGAGTTTCCAAGCTCATGCTACCACACCTTACTTTTACCAGGGGTTATGGGGACCGAATTCAAGGCCTCCCTCATACTTGAGTGGCAAAGCACTTTACCAACTAAGCTATCTCCCCAGCGTGAGCAAAGCTTCTTTTAAATCCTCTCATTTTTTTTTCTCTTGAAAAAAAATAGCTATTATATGGATTTCTTGCAAGACATTTCAGTCTTAATAGGCATATAGATTTCCAATGCTGGTGATGTGAGTGGCTCTTTCCTGGGTTTTGCTACAAGCATACAGAAAAATCTGTAAGAATGCAAAATTCACTTCCCCCAAATTAATGAATCCTCCCTTCGTCTCTCCATCCGTCCCTCCCTTCCTTCTTTCTCACATTTTTCTTTTAGTCTCACACATGCTAAGCTTGCTTTCTACCACTAAGCCACATCTCAAGCTATTCCATAAATTCTGTGTCTGCCCGCTTGCTGCACGACTGAGGGTGTTCACATAATAGGAAAATAGGGTGGCTGAGGGTGTTCACATAATAGGAAAATAGGGTGGCTGAGGGTGTTCACATAATAGGAAAATAGGGTAGTGTCTCACAATAGTATTCAGAGATAGATTTGTGGCGGAACAAAAGCTAATGCAAATCAAGTATTTAAATACATGAAAACCATTGTAGAAACGGGCTTTTAGTAAATGCGAAGCCACTGAATATGTAAATAAGTTGACATAATAGCCTGTATGCATGTAGCTATGTTAGACTTAACAGCCAAAACCTGTTCTTAGTTTTATCCAGCCAAGTAACAAGAAAGCCAGGATCTAGAATTTCATATTAATGTAAAAGTTTAAGGTACCAGTAATTTAAAGGAGTTCTGGCATAAGAATAGATAGGTCAATAGCCTACACCAGACAAGAAAGCTCTGAAAGTAACTTCAGAATTTGTAAGGATGCTATGATAAACAGTTACAAATCATCACTAAAGGGGACTGGGTGAGCATCCAAACTGCCTAGGCTCCCACAAAACCAATAGGTGCAGTAGGATCAAAAACCCATTGCCATTGTTCTTGGGGTCTCAGTAGTCCTCATTGTCCACTATGTTCAGCGAGACCGGTTCAGACCCGGGCCAGCTGGCCTTGGTGAGTTCCCGATAGAACATCCCCATTGTCTCAGTGTGTGGGCGCACCCCTCGCGGTCCTGAGTTCCTTGCTCGTGCTCTCTCTCCTGGTGCTCCTGATTTGGACCTTGAGATTTCAGTCCGGTGCTCCAATGTGGGTCTCTGTCTCTGTCTCCTTTCATCGCCTGATGAAGGTTAGACCTGGATGGAGGTGGGTGGTCCTTGGACTTCCCACAGGGCAGGGAACCCTGATTGCTCTTTGGGCTGACGAGGGAGGGGGACTTGATTGGGGGAGGGGGAGGGAAAGGGGAGGCGGCGGTGGGGAAGAGACAGAAATCTTTAATTAATTAATAAAGAAATAAATAAATTAAAAAAAAGAAAAAGAAAAAAGGGGACTGGGAAAATTGATTCAACATTTAGACATTATATCAAATCTGAAGTTGTTCACTTCCACATTTACTAAAGTAAATTATAATTGGTTAAAGATTTAAGGGATGAAATCATTAAAATATCAAAATGCATAAATATGAATGAATAACCACGATGTTCAAGTACGGACTTGTGGCACAAAAATGATGAACATAAATTACAAAGGCCAGTTAAATCAGAATTGATCTTGTATTATACTCTACAATATAACAACCTTCAGTTTGGCAACAAGTTTTCACCCATGCATCAGTAGAAACAAACAAACAACAAATAAATAGCCCTGGTAGAGTTCATTTTATTAGGAAATTTCTCTAGTCAGTGGCAGCATGATGGCCTAATGGATAAAGATCCTGTTGCCAAACTGAACAACCTGAGTTTGGTCCTCGGTACCTCCATGATGAAAATAGAGAACCAGGCCTCATCAGTTGTCTGATCTGTACATGTGTTGTGGTATGCATCCCCGACTCCCAATAGATAACCAAATGTAATTAAAAATTTTAAAAACCTTACCTGCTGTGAACATTGAATTAGAAATATATTCGTTTAAGTAATGATAAACTGTTTTGGCACTGACTGTGAGCTGGATCTTAAACATTGCTCAAGGGAACTGTGAAAGTGGTACGTGTGATTGGGAGTATGTCTTAGGAGCCTTCAGCATTCGTGGCCTTTGAGCCATCTGTATCACTATAGCCAGAGCATTTGCTCTGGAAGTGAAGATGCCCCTATCGGAGGATGTTCATTGATAGACTGTCTAAATAACCATCTTACAAATGGAGCTTTAAACAGTTATTTACCAACAGGTATACACGTTACTTAGGCAATACGAAGTGACATGCATAGTATATAACAAAGCGTACACTATTATGATTCCAAGTTGAGAAAAAGAATTCTGAAAGGAATATACCAAACTGTTACATGAATAGTTCGGGATGTCTTCTTTGTTTTTATTTCTTTTACAGCCTGTACTTTTGAAGACATTAACAGTTCAGATTTCTGTTTGATGCATGTCATGGGAGTGTCTGTTCTTCACCTCTTATCACTCCCCTTTCTTCTCTATCCTTGACAATGTCTGCAGGGTGATAAGAGAGGATTTGGAAACAAAGAAATGTGGATGGAGATGGTGATCTGTGTCTTTGCCCTGCTGTTCCCAGATAATTGGGATCCCCAGTTGGGACTAGGGAATGATTCTTACCTCTGCTTCTTTTTCCTTTCCAGGAAACACATGAAATTGTGGCCATCAAGAAATTCAAGGACAGTGAAGGTATGTATGCAGTTTTACTTCTGTAATATTTTTGTAAATATAAACTGCGACAGGGAGGGTTTAGTTGGTTAAACCCTAGCCTTGTGATTTTAATATCATAATCTCAGGAGTGAGCATAACTTATTTATCAGCATGCTTTACTTTGAAATATATGATATTAGAACATCTATTTTCATTTACAATCAGGGGTGGACATTTTGCTCCAAAGGCTAGACCGACATCTTCTTAACCACGTGTTTGCCTGTAATCTATGTAGATTCCAATGGAACGCTGAGTAAAAGCAAATGCATCTGGAGTGAGTGCTGACAAAGATTCAGCATGTGGTCACTATGTTCTCCAACTCCTAGGCACAGCAAGAAACACAAGGATAAGTGGGAGGTGGTATAGGGACGAGAACATTTTATGTTTAGGGCCATGGATTGAGAGACTAAAAGCTTTTCAATAAGAAATACCACATTTGGGGGCATTGAACACAATTCTAGACTGTTTCAAATGGAGCTTTAAAATTCTCTGCTGGGAAAGAAAGTTTCAAATAAAATACTTTACTAGTGCATTAGTTTAGAAACCTTAGCTCTTAACTCTTACCCAGGCAAAGAAAGGCTGGTAATGAAAGTCCACATGGCTTTTGAGGAGGTTTAGGCAGCAGTTCTTCCCAATTTTTAGTACAGAGACCCCAGTAAAAATACTTTCTAAACCCTAGCCCTGTTTCCATATACATATAATGAAGCAAAACTCTCACAGAAATCTTGTGTTAATGACATTCTCTGTTTTCTGTTTTCCCTGGTTTATTGAAAATATTGGAAAAAAGTGCATTGTGACATTGAGTTGCAGCCTACCATATGAAAAACAGATAAAAAGTACCAGCATCAGCCTCTATCTAATGCGAAGCCTGAAGATAGACAACATAGCCCGGCTTCCTTGGTGCACACTGACTAAGCACTTTAAACACGTGCTTCTGTATTTATGGAGAGTCGCATCACCCTCACCCCAGATACTTAGAAAGCATGAAATAACAAAGAGGGCTTACTCACAGAAGCCTCCTAGGAGAGCTTCCACAGCATTATGGTTAGAACTGGACTATGATGTTTTACTGATGTGGAGCGCATGCATATTACCCAGGCCCCTGAGCAGCCGTCATGAGGGCAGTCTTAAAGGAAGGCACTGAGAAGCTTGGAACTATGTGCCTGGGATCTAATGGAAGCAGCTGCCCATGTCTGACCCTCTGTGAGACCATTGGAAATAGGCTCGTTGAGCAGTGACTTTAGACTAATGACAGGCGATCCAGAGACAAATGCTGATCTAAAAAGGGTGACTGTAGCAGAAGATCCAAGCACCACCCTTGCGTGTGTGTGGAGACTTCTGACTCTGTATTCGCCTTTAAGGTTTCATTGGCAAGCTGAGAAAGAGAAATTGTCAGCAGACCTTCAAAAACAATTTTTTTGGTCATAGTGTCTCATGTAGACCTAAGCTTGCATACTGTCTTCTATGCATGTCTTTACCCTGTTCCTCTAGCAAGAATACTGCCTTACTTAATAGAAAGAAATGGTACAGATCTGCTGAGCAACTTTTTGGAGTCTGAGTTATACGTAAATAGTTTCATATAGATAAGATTGTCTTTTGAGCTCCTTTGTAAACTATTATAATTCAAAATTTCTTTTATTCTCTAAATTCCAACCAGGTCTATTATAATAAAAAATGAGTGTTCGGATAATATTGTTCTCATTGTCTCATAGCCCTCAACTATTCTTTTTATTAGTTATTATGAAAATTTGTACTATAATTATTCTAAATTATTCTAAAGCCAACATTTCCAAGTCTTTGAGAAAATAAATGAAGTAATTCTATAAAAGCAATGTTAAACTTTAGTTGAAATGGGACCTGTCCTTGGTCTGACTACCATTCACATGAATGTTTCTAAATATTCTCTAGCTGATGATATACAAGGAGTATGTTTAAGAATATGTACCACCCTCTGATTGCTTTAAAGATTATAATAATGTCTTACTGTCCTGTTAAGATGATATGGATCCAAAAATTTGTGTATATTTTTGAAATATTTTATTTTTAAATTTAATTTAAATAGACGTTTAATTAATTTACTAATAAATTAAATAAAAAACATTTAATTTCAAATTTAAGTTAAAAATAAAGTATATTAATATTTTATTTTAAAACATATTTTCAAGTAGACCACTTTTTGTGCAAATGATCTTTATTGACCCAGAATAACTGATTGCTATTTAAAATAAGACCCAAATTTTTATCATAAATAAAAGGCTGAAATTATGAAAATAAGTTTGCTTTATGGTAAATAAGATTTAACTCATAATAGCAGCTGCGTGCTAGTTTTTAATATCTTAGAATTGGATATTATCTTTTAAGCAGGAAAGTCAGTTTTTAGAGTAAAATTGCATTCTAGCTCAAAATATAGCAAAAGGCTTTGTCAGTTTTCACCCTTTTAATATGTCTGTCTTCATGTTTCAGTTTTTAAAATTGTTTTAGGATTATTTTTACTTTGTATCTATGAGAGCTTTATTGGCATGTATGAATGTATACTATGTATGTGTCCAGTGCCCATGGAGGTAGGAAGAGGACATTGGATCCCCTAGAACTGGAGTTATGGGTACTTGTGAACCACCATGTGGGTACTGGGAATCAAACTAGGGTCCTTCAATAACAGTAAATATTCTTAACCTCTGAGCCATCTCTCCATCCCCCGCACGCACGCACACACACACACACACACACACACACACACACACACACACACACTTTGTCAAATCTTAGAGGCAAGCACCTTTACCAACCCTGAGGCATCTCATTGGCTTTGGGTCATCATTCTTATATGAACACATAAACCAAGTTTATTGAGCAATCCAGGCATTCCAATTTAAACTAGATGGTTTTGGAATAGCAATAATAAAAAAATACTGTCTATTAAAACTTAAGGAGAACATGTAATCAGAATTTATTTTTTTCCTTATATTTTGACCCTCCTTTTAATTCTTTGGACTGTGACCTTTCTTTGATGAATGAAAAATTCTTCTTATTATCACATGGCCTCCGTACATGGCTCACTCCAGTGAGCTGGGCAGCCATCCACGTTTACTTGCGGGGCAGGGCGGGGTGGTGCTAAGTCATTTCTCTTCTTTTATATCAAATATGATTGCTGGCATTTTCTTTTTTGTTGCTTGTTTCCTATAGATAAATGTTTTTTTCTCTTGAAATGAGCGTATTTATTTCTTTAATTATTAGGAACTGTTTAGGTAATCATCTAGTCTTCCCTGTGGTTGATTCCATTCTTATTTTTAGAGACTCGAAAACTTTACACTGCTCTCTCATTTTGTTTGATGCTATAAAAAAAAGAATTCATGAATTCTAAAATTCAAGAACCCGATTTCCGTATATGAGGGGTCTTGAACCAAAATTTCCAGTATTTATTATATAAAGAATGTGATGAAATGAGCTGTACACCCTAGCTACTCTTGGTACTATCACACTTCCTTTTACTGCCCAAACCAGATCTCTTTCAAACCTCAGGGATTCTTGTAAGATTTGGCTACATTTCTGCACCTTTTGTGATTTCATAAATTTTCTCTGTTCTTCACTTTGTCCTTCATCTCTAAAGATGGAAGGGTCTTTATCTTTTTTTGGTACATAAAACAGTAACATCACTATTCAAACCTCTGTGGCCACATTGATTGTCCTGCTGCTGCTGCCCTGTCTTCAATCAGAGCAACCAGAATCAAACATGGTTCCCCTATGGTTTTGTTCACGGATGGATTGACTTTTCTTTTTTATTCTATCTGTTTAACGGTCTGTTTTGGGGGCCTCTTTGGCTATACAAAGATGTCAGGTTTGTGATTTCATAAAGTAGGTTACAGCTATTCCTGGATTTCTTTTCCAAACCCACGGTTCTTTAAAAATAGGGTTACAATAGAGTTTCTGCTGATCTTTAGATTTTTCTTTTCATCGCTGACTTATCTTTGAATTTCTTTTGCTCCTGTGCGCTTTCTTCTTAAAAAACTGCTATCTTTTATTTTAGTGACTCTCTTGATTTTTAGGTGTGTTAACTTGACTCAATGGTAAGCCTACAGAAGTAGGTCAGATTTTTGTTTGTTCTTACTTGGCATCTTTTTTATTCATGTCACTTTGTCCTTACTAGGTTGGATTGTATACTTACTGCACATAACTTTTCCATAGTTGCTCTTGACTTTGACAACCCCCTCCAATGGTAAATGTTTTTGTTTTGTTTGAGACAGGATATTGCGGTGTAGTCCAGGATAGCCTGAAATTAAATTTTCATCTTTTTGTTGGTTCATTCATTCAGTCAGTCAGTCTTGCTCGCTTGCTCTCCCCTCCTCCCTCTATCTTCCCTATCCCTGCCATTTTCCTCTTCTCTATATTTTGAAAAAGGACCTTGCTCTGTAGTCAAGGCTGACCTAGAACTCACTGTTTAGCCAGAGGTGCCTTTCACCTTGTAGCAGTCCTTCTGCCTCAGCCTTCTGAGTGCCGGGATTCCAGATGTGAACCACTTTGCTTGGCTTTCTTTGGTAGTGCCTAATGGTGAGATTAGTTAGCATTCCTATAAACAGGTATAGAAACATTGACTTTTAGAACTAGGAGAAGTCTTTAGAATAAACCAGTGTAACCACAGCCCCAGTTTTATAGGTCAAGAGCTGGCGTGTGTTTCTGAAGCCCAGGGAGCTGCACTGACTGTTTTTCCCAGCATACTATGTTCTTTGGCTATGTGGCTTTAGCAGCCAAATAACTGGGTCGGAGAACAACGGCTGAGTGTCGACCTAGATGCTGTGAGTCACTCTCCAAAGTTCACTGAGATTTCCATACCACCTAAGTCCCGATGTTCAATGCAGGACATGAGGTTGAATGTGACTCTAGTCTGTGCATCCTGAGAAAGTTACCTATCCTTTTTTTAGCGTTCAGTTCTTTACTTATGAACTGGAGAAAAGAGCATACATAGCACATAAGGATTATCTTAG